ATTTCAGTAAACCAGATAATAAAAGCAATAGACAGAATAAATATGCAGAAACATACAGAGTTAAACTGAGATTCATCAGTACATATCTAAAAACATTTAAATTGTTACAAAAAGATATGCAGTGATAAGGAAAAACTATAGAATACATGAGTTAAGATTGTGCTCCTATTATTAAAAATAATACAGCTTTAGAATTATACTAGATGGTGTTAAAAGAAACATGACATTCCTCTCCCTGGATGTTCCTTCTCCCCAGCCATTCAGACTCCTCATCCTTTGGGATCTACTCACAAAATCATCCTGAATCCCCACTGCCAATATTAATCCTGCCTCCTGTATACATTCAGAATAGTTTTTATGTTTTGTGACCTATAACTGTCTCCATACTCATCTTTTTCCTTCAAGACTGCAAGCTCTTTGAGGACAGGATCCATGACTAATGCATTTTTTGTGCCTTTCAGTATCACCTAATAGACACTCAGTAAATCTTTGGCAAATGAACTGGAACACAGTTCTCCCATTATGTTGAGTCTGTGCTGGATCCAGAGTCTTAGAGATAAGCAAAAATAACTGGAACAGATTCAGAAGAGAACAATGAACCAAAATGACTAAAGAAGTGGGACAAACAGAATCTCTATGTGGAAACAATAATTAAAAAAAAAAAAAGGTTAAAGGAATTCAGCCTAGGAAAGTGACCATTGGGAAATGATGTGATAGGCATCTTCAAATATATTAAAGAGATAATGTTAAAAGAAGTCCCAAAGTTTTTTTTTTTATTGGAGTAAAACAGATATGGCTCAGATTTTAACAGGGCAATATGAGTAGGGAGTGGAGCCTACCCAAGAGCAATCAGAGTACAACTATCAGGGTGGTGTGATGAATGGCAAAGGTAAATGCCGTGCCTTCCTCTGTCCTTGAGTGTGTGTGAGTATGTAGTGACAATACAGTTTGAGGCACAACATTTTTGCAAAATTACTTGTGAAACAACTGCAAGCTTTTAAGTTTTAAATTTTTTTCTAAGATGCTAAGACACGTTTTAAAAGAGAAGGAGGATTTAGTCCAGGAAAGAATGGTAGAGGCAGAAGCCTGGGATTTGGATAGAAAATGGAACCAACGCACAAAGAGAGACAGCCTTTGATGTCTTGACAATCAGGGACCGTGGCTTAAGGACCAGACTCTTAAATCACGTGGCATTTACTGCCCAAGATAAAAAAATACTTTTCTGGATCAGTGTGTGTACTTCAATATGGCTAGGTTCCAAAATTGGTCTTAACTTTCCAAGGGCAACATTTGGAAGGCTTCCTGTAAGAACAGCAAAGCCAGTTTTTAGAAGGGGCAGCTTAATGATTTTCTCCCCCTACCCCAAATCATTAAACAGTGTTCCTTTCCCAGAGCTCAAGTTCATGCTGAGGGCAAAGGGAATTAAATGGAGAGGCTAAACCTGCAACTAAGATTAGAGTGTTGCCAAGGGCCTAATTTTAGGTCCTTGCTGCCCCAGCTGACGTCCTGCACTGCGGGCTTAGCCACGAGGACTGCAAGTGTGTGTCTGAGTGAGGCAAGCCACGCCCTTGGCCATCTGCAAAAGCAATTAGCTTGCTGTTGGGTATGTTTGGAGAGGGACTACCAATAATTTCTCCTTTAACAAATGTTTCTTCAGGTGTTCAAGAGTCAATGAGGAAAAATGTTAGAACTTGGCAGACATTCCCACATGCTTGCCATTCTCAATATTCACGCTTTCCCACTTAAGAGCAACCCCCAAAAGGGAACTAATCCTGGAATTCCTGTTTTTTCATGGCAAATAACTCCCTGATAAATTTCCTCTGGCTCCAAGCTACAACCTAGAGAAAGTATCATTCAAGACTTAACATGATGAAAATTGACATGGATGGACTGGGGTTATTCTTTCATTTTGTGGGGAATTTCTACATCACTCTTCAGCTTGGATATAGGCTGGCCCCAGCTCTCCACATATTTCCCAGGCACAAGTTTCATGCTTTAATTGTCTTCTTCAGAGGGCAGACAATAAGAGCTGGCATCTTCCAGATCAAAGGGGAAACAGAATATATTTTAAAGTGACAACTCTGTTATCCTGAAACCAGAATAATAAACTGATACAAATGCAAGCTTCTAAATGATCCCATACTGAAATGCTACCAGAAAGCAAAATTTCTTGCATAATTATGGCAGAAAAACTCTCCTTATACAGCACTCTAAAGAGCATGTCTTATTTTTGCACAGTTCTCATGCCTGAGGCAGTGCACCTTAGGGAAGGAGATTTCGTGTCCCTGCAGGTTGGGAACTGTGATTGCCCACTGGTGCTTTCTACGAAGGAGGCTCTTAACAAAGGCTCTTTGCCAGGGGCAATGAGAAACTGGGATGCACTTCTGGCTCAGGGAATGTATCTTCCACGGATAATGTGCCCTTGGTCAAGGCTACTGTTGGTAAGGTGCACAGATCAATTCCAGCTGCTTCTCTTCATTTCTCTATTTTTCTTTCCAATTTTTCTGGCAGCTTTGCTTTTCCTGTCTACTTGTCTCACATCCTAATTTTGATCTGTCTCCCTATATATTTCTCCACCCTCCCTATAGTACACACACAAACATATGCACACACGTGCTCATGAACACACACACACACACACACACACACACACACACACACATCTCACCCCTTCTGTCTCTTGGCGCCAACCCTTTCATCTTCTCCCTCAGGGATTTGAGATGTCGCTGCAGGAAGTGCTTGTCCGCAGAGGCGGCAGCAGCAGAGCCCTGTGGCTTTGACAAACCTCATTTAATTGGGAGGAAGCCAGGAGAATTTGAAAGAACTGAAACATCCACGAAACTCCTTTTATCAGGCATAATTTAAACTCTGCATGGAAAAACCCCTATATGTATAAAGAAAAGTCAACTTCCCTCCTGCTGCGAGCACTCCTCATCTTCCCCCAGCACAGGCAGGTTCCTGCAAGATTCCATCTTTTCATTTTTCTAAAAGTGTCAAAGTAGATTTGGGCTCTGTGGCTGGGTGAACAGAGAAGGAATACAGATTATTCTGTCTCTGTCACTCGAGTACACACAGACACACATGAACATGCACACACACACACACACACACACACACCCTCTAGACATGCATGCATGCACCAGAGCCCCTCTGGTGGTGGTTTTGATTTGGATCATTCGGGAAGAATCAAAACCCAAGTTTCTAATAACATCAGTTTGGACAGTGATTGTTTCTTCCTAATTACCCTTCGAAAGGGAAGAGCTGGTGCTCAGAAAACTTTGAAGATCTTCAGCAGTTCTTGGTGTATAGATTAATAGACCCTGGAGGAGGGTTGATGGGAGAAGACTTTTTTAAGTAAAGAGAAAGGAATGTGTGTGTGTGTGTGTGTGTGTGTGTTTGTGTGCACGCGTGTACACCCAAGCATCTACACTTGTATGATGTGGTACGGTTAGAAATTCTAACTCCAGAAGAAGAAAGCCAAAAAGGATCTTGGGGGTTCAGATAATAAAACAGGGGCCAGGGCTGAAATGGGGGAGGGGTGTCAGGGAGGGAGAATAGTAGGTCTGTCTGCAAGGTCTGCCCTTCCACCCAGATGCCAAACCCTGTCCCTCCCTCCCTTCCAAATTCCACTTCAGATTCACCTTCATTCTAATCCGTATCACTTGAATTATTTTTGTTTCTCTAAAAAATTGCCTTTAGCACACACAGTCTCTGAACATCTGCATTTGATTATGCACAGATTTTAGCTGTTTAGATATGATTTGTGCTAATATGTGTACGAGAATGCCTTGTTTCCTCTTCCTCACTCTCTTTTCCTCCCACTCTGTGAGATCCTTGAGGCCAAGGACGAGTCTCTTGTTTCCCTCAACTTTTTATAGCACTTCATATGTTCTTGACACTTAATGGCAACTTAATAAATTCTAATGGCTGACTCTTCTTACAGGGTTAAGTTAAGACGTTAACCTCAGTTGTATGATTATGGCTTTTTTTGGACATCTTAAAGGGCTCACTTTAATAATAAAATTCCTCAACTAGTCTCAAACTAAGAGTTTTGGGCTATTGTAGGGCATTGTCTTAGATACGGGGAAGCTGCATTTGTAAATACTGGCAACTGGGTCAGACCTGACCATGCCTCTTGGACAGTAGCCCCTTCCCTTGCACTCCACCCCCACTCAGCGCACCCCATCCCTGCTCCCTCTCACTCCCATCCTAGTCTCCTTTTCCGGTCTGAGCTGCTCCTGGACTCTCCTGCTTGCCTTGCTTTCTCTAATTTAGGATTCTGAAAACTGTTTCATTTGAATGGTGGATATTTTCAAAGAAATATTGACAGTCCCCTCCAAACAGCTCAGGCCTGGACTGTGCTGCCCCTTCCTCTGGAGAGTCCTTTGGATCCACATACTGAGAAACACGAGGAGAACTCTGACCACATGATGACCAGTAGATCTCAGATTTGGAGGGTGACTTCAGGCCCCAGGCAGCAAGACTGATTTCAGGGAAACTTGTGTTTCCAGCGGGCAACCAGCCTCAGAAGGCACTTCCTTTCCTGAGGACCCCACCTCAGCACTTCCTTCTGCAGTATCACATTACCAATCAAGAAGGCCCAGCTCCCTTCTCTGGCATATCCGTGTCACCTATCATCTTACTCTCCGTGGAGAGAGAGAAGGGGCTTGTTAGAAACTTTGCTTTTGCTTCTTCTGGCAGATGCTGGCAAAAGCAAACAAGTCAGAAGCAAATTACATCTCGGCCAGTTCCTGGGAGTGTGTGTGTGTATGTGTGAGATGCTGGATCCTAGCCACCTCTCCTCACCAGTGCTTTAGAGCTTCAGGGACTCTTATGCAAAACTCAGGCAACATTGGGTCTCATCTTGCTTCTCAGAGACAAACTCATGTTTAACTTCAGTTCTGGGTGCAAAGTCTATGATTCTTCAACATTGAGAGAAATCATATGTATACATACACACTCAAGCTCACATGAGTGCACATACACACTCCCTCCCTCACCATCAGGAAGCTGGAACAGCTGAGGTGGCAGGGCCCTGAAATACTCATGGACAAGTGCTTCTTGGGCGGACACACGGGCTCGAGGGAAGCCTTTCAGCATCCGAGAGGCTAGGTCTTCTGCTTCAGGAACCTCACCCAGCCTGGAAAAGCAGGAGAGAAAAATACAGTTTCTGTAGAGGCCTCTATTCTGAAAAATAAAGGCAGGAAAAGTAAAGATCAGAAAATGACTAGACTTAGAATGATGTTTCAAATGGAACTTTCCTGGGATTACAAAACTTGATGGCAAGTCAAAAAATAATCCCCATACTGAAACTCTTACCTGTCCCCTTACTAAGATGAAGGAGAAAATCTCAGCACTGTTTTGTTTAGTTAACCTTCCCTCCTTCATGTCTCTGGGCACCGTGTACATGTAAGAGACATGGAATTGTCTGAAGAAACAGAGATATATAACTAAGAATTCTTCATGGAGGGATGCAGTGGCCCCAACCAAGCAGAAAAGTTTGACTGACAATATGGTCCAGGCTCTGGACTTCGAAAGAAGCATGTATAGAAGGCTGCAAGAAACAGAGGGAGAGAGGCAATTCTGAAGGGTGAAACTTTGCAGGGAATATTTTTATTTTTAGCATTTCTAAAGCTCAGCCTCAAGGTTAATAGCTAAATGGCTTTCTTGGTTCTCCTTGGGATGGAGTAGAGCAAGAGAGATAATTAAGTGCCCAAATTCCAGTAGAGATGAGAGTCCTCAAGTAGACTTTATGTTGAATTACATGAATTACACATTTGGACATGAGCTAACCCATTTATTGAGAAACTGTTATGTGCTAGTAGGTGGTTAGCTCTGGAAGGTACAGGGTAATCTGTTTTCTGATCGCTTAAATCTAGTAATCAAACATTTACCCAATGATATAAATGCGTAAGTACAACTGTAAAGACCTTGCTCTGGTCTGAATATTTATGTACTTCCAAAGTTCAAATGATATTAAAGGTGGGACCTTTAGGAGCCGATAAGGTTGTAAGGGTGAAGCCTTTGTGAATGGGATTAGTGTCTCATAAAAGAGGCAGCCTTAACCACCCTGTGAAGGCACCCCCAGGAGGTACCATCGAGGGGGCACAGAGCCCCATCCTAGAACTGCTGGTACCTCCATCTTAGCCATCCTAGCCTACTGAACTGTGAGCAATCAACTTCTGTTGATCATAAATGATCTAGTCTAAAGTTTCTTGTTACAGCAGCCAAACCAAGGGAGCTCTTACCTGTGACCTAGAACGGGAGGAGGTGGCCAGGGAAGATTTTCTTGGGAAAGTGCTGAGCTGAGAGCGGAGAGCTAAGAAACTGGGAACAAGTGAGGGGCAGGCTCGCAGAGGTGTCTGGTGCTCTTGCCGAGCTCAAGGTGGAAGGGAGAACAATGTGTTTAAAGGAGGGAAGTGATGATTCTTGGTGGGCTTGGTACAAAGAGAGGGAAAGGAGCCTGATGAGAAACTGGAGAGATTGGTTGGGTCCAGGAGATTCTGCAGGATCTCAGGGTCTTCATGTTGTACATTTACTTACAATGCTTAAAAGTTTTTGGCAATTTAGTGCCAGTCATTAATGTGCACCATCTCTACAACTCACAAATAGCTTTATACGGAGGGAAAAATGTGCAGATCTTGCAGGACAATTAGCCACACGACCGACACTCAGAAATTAAATTGTATGGCCGCAAATCAAATGAACAGTAGAGGGGTTTACTTAAAGTCCAATAAACACAACCACTTACAGCAAGAAATAACAGCTACTTTTTCTCTCTACATGCCACAAGAAGGAACACTGCAGTTCAGGCCCTGTGCTATAATCTGTCTAATTTTTGCATAAAATTTCCATAAGAAACTTTTAGGTATCTGATTCCCATGTCATAAAATTGTTTCTGCAAACAGATTGCTTCTCTTCAAGGCAGGAGTAATTTGTTTCACAGGCAAAGAAGAAATTTGGAAATCCCTAGTGCTTGCAAATTTTCAGGTCAGTTAGGACAGAAAGGAGCCTGGGGTGAATGTCTGCTTGTTAGCAGTGTCCTGAAAGAGGACTGCACAGCGTGCCTTGCCAAAATTTGGGAATGTGTAAAACATTGTCTACATGTGTGTCTCTTAACACATGTAAAACCTGACTGTTCTCAGAGAAATGACATGATAGTTTTAATTTCTTGGACCATCCTGACTCTGAATATGAAAATCTCCCACCCCTTCACAGCTACTGGCCTTCACAGCATAGAATGAGGCTGGTACTATGAGCCTTTTCCCTGGCATCCACAGAAAAGGGAAGGGGTTTAGCACAGGTAAAGTAGATGGCCATGGTAAGAAATATCCAGCAGTAGAAAGAAACGACGTCAGAGAAGTTGTCCTACAGTCTGCTGTTCAGCCTAAAAGTGAGAGTGTAGTTTAAGAGGTTACCGTAGAATCCGAGCAAGGCCTTGGTCTGCGCACACGTGAGCATGCGCAGTTCCACTATTCCTCTGAGGGAGTGGTGTGGAAAAGCTGGTAACACCTCAGCTGCTCTCGACTTGCACTTGCAGCTGGATTCACCTGACAGGGCGTAGACACAGCTGTGCACCAGATGATTCCTGGCTCCACCAGTTCCTCAGCTGGATGACTAAGACCAGATTACTTAGCTTCTCTGAGCCTCAGTTTCATCCTCTTTCACCCAGGAATGACATTCGTAAGGCTTGAAAGAAATAATAAATGCTGCACTTTGCTGAGCACATAATGAAGGAAAGAGTCTATTTCTGCTTTGTCTGCTGTAGTGGCTACAGCCAGTATGTGGCTGTGGAACCCCTGGAATTAGAATAATTTAAACTTAAGTGAAATAAATAAGTCACACATGTGTAAATACCGAATAGTTTCCCTGGCGTGAATAATCTGCAGCAACGCATAAGATCCTAATAAGATTACTAACATTTAGAAATGGGAAGAAAGGAGCTAAAGGTGTAGGGAAGGTGGGATGGGTAGGGGAAGAGTAAAAAGGGAAAAGAAAAAAATGTGAGAGAATGAAAAGATGAAAATAAAGTGTTTGTAGATGGGGAGGGGAGGAGGGGGTGAAGGGAGGGCAGAGGTAAGGGGAAAAAATGAGAACCAAGACTTGCCATGTAGAGGTACAAGATCCCAACAATGAATGTAACTGTACTGTATCCCTAAATGTACCAGTAAACTCAATTAAAGCTGAAACAAAACAAAACAAAACAAAACAAAAAAACTTAAGTAGCCATGTGTAACTGGTGGCTGCTGTGTTAGCACAGTTCCAGTCACTCCTTGTGTGGAGAGTCTGCACAGAGAGAAGTCCATGTCTGACAAAGGCATAAACAGACGGTGCTAAGAGTTGTGGGTCAGAAAAGCCGGAGTGATATGGAGAGGATTCAAGTCCTGCTCAGCCCTGAAAGGAAGACCTTGTAGAGAGATAACAGGAGACTGCTGGCATTATTATGACAATGGCAACAGCAGCAGCAGAGAGTATTAGATACTTTGCAGATTCAGAGTTGCTGTTTATTTTGGAAGCCAATTGTGAAATGAAAGAAAGCAACAGGGCAGAGTGAAAATTCAAGTATCTCTAATTAGGGGTTAGGGAGCCTGATTCTGCCGGCAGGGGAAAGTCTGCACATCTTGAGTAAAATGATGACAGCAGTCTCCAGGATGATGGGGAGTTTCGGCTTATATAGTGCTTTTCCAAATAAGAGTGGAGCATGGACACGCCCTGGAGAGCCCTGTCCCTCCGATGAAAGATCCCTTGTCAGTCTGTTGTTCTGTTTCCAGGGTATTTTACTCTCCTTTGTAGCCTTTTAAAGCATTGAACAGTGCATGGAGAAGCCAAATGACATTTGGTTAAACTATTCCACATTTTCAGTTAGGATCTTGGCTGGCGAGACTTCCTCTTCTCCTCACCTGTGAGTGTGTTTTTCTTTGACATCTGAGCTCCTTTTCCCTGTCTCTGATGTTTTCCTTACTGCCCTTTTTGCCTCCTCACTGAAGCAAAAAGAACAGAGCTTTGGCTAATTACTCTTAGATCAAATAATACTGGTTATTGTAATTGGTCATTGTCTGAAAACACTGGGTTCTTCTTAGCCTGGAGGTTGCCTGGCACAGCTTAGTTAGCTAACTATTCCTGGAATGTCTCTATTATCTGTTTTACTTTGCAAAAGAAACTAGGGATTTGTTGAAAGCTGGTAATAAAAGTTTGCCCTGGTCTGAGCTGAGGCTGCGTTGAGAGGGCCTGGGAAAGCATGACCTCCATGAATCAAGTTCCCCCTCCAATGGCCACTCAATGATGTTATTTGGTTTCCCTGTGTCAGAGAATAATAAGCCCACTACGTTTTCTTGCAGGCCAACACTCTGTGTTCTCAGGGCCTGGGGCATGGCTCAGGGACACAAAGCAATTTTAATGGCCAAACTCACTGAAAGTAAAATGGTTCATAGAGAAAAACTAACACAGTCCCAGGGGGCTGGCTCTCCCAGAGGCAAGTTACTGGGTTCCCGCTCTCAGACCAGGATTCTGGGGACTGTTGTTCAGTGGAAGGATGTCGATAAAAGTCTCTTCTCCCTGCCTGAGGAGAGTTCCCAGAGTAGTGCTCACCTGTTGCATATGATCTGAAGTCTGTGAGGCTTAGGCATCAGGAACCATTCTGGAAAGCACATAGACAAACATTAAAAAAACAAAAGCAACTCTTCAACTGCGGTCAAAAATATTATTAAAATTCTAAATGCTTGGCTTGACGCAGGATGAGAGGATTCAAGTATGGAGTAAGCTAGCCAATGATTTTTAAGGCCTTTTTTCACTTGCAATTTTTATGATTCATTGGGAGGTCAGGATGATGTGTTGAATTGTGTGCCCCTCAAATTCTTATGTTGAAGTCCTAGCTCCAAACACCTTAGAAGATGATGTTACATAGAAATAAACTTGTGGTGGCTATAATTAGTTAAGATGCAGTCCCTAGGATCAGCACAAATGCAATTTGACTGGCATCCATACAAAAAGGGAAAATTTAGATACAGATGTAGACAGGTATCTGAGAATATGACCTGTGGAAATATAAGAAGGTGGCCATCTACAAGTCCTGCTCAGCCATGAAGAGGGACCTGGGGGAGATGTCCCTTCACCGGCAACGGAAGGCCCTGCAGACATCTCTGGTTCAGACTTTCCAGCCTTGAATTGTGAGACGAAAATGGTCTACTGTTTAAACCACCAAGTTTGTAGCTCTTTGTTATAGCAGCCATGGCCAACTAATATAGTTTAAATATTCACACAAGCCAACAAACATTTATTTAACATGTAGTGTGTGCAGAGCATGTGCCAAGGGCTGGGAGAAGACAAAGAAATCAAAAGAAAGTCTCTCGCTCTTGCAGAGCTTACAATTCATTTGGGAGAACAAAGCACACGCACATGAAAAGTCATGTGACAAATGGTGGGGCAAAGCTGCAAAGACTCAAAGGTGGTGCAAAAGAAGGGGGGTGAATTTTATATGCAGCTGGGTAAAAATGGAAGTGAAACCTGCCTGGCTCAAAATTGGTGATAATAGAAATTATAATTTCATTTTGAGCATTCTACAACATTTATATTTAGTGACATGTGTTTCTATTACTTTTGGTATTGCATCTAACCCAATTAAAATCATAATCAACGACATAATTTTTCATTCCAGAAACTGTAAGTGAATATCTACTGTCTGGAAGGGCCGCAAGAAGTGTGGAGGAAACTAGATGATGCTGCTTATCAAATTTCCACTTTATTTCTCATCCAGATTGAGAAAAGAGTATTTCAACTCTCATTTAAAATGGTATATCTTCTTTATACTATTCTTAGGCCTGAAATATAGTTTTTTTTTTTTTTTTTTTTTTTTTTTGGG